TATATTTGTTGGTTATAATTTTCGTTATTAGTTATACTGAACAATTTATATATTTTAGATGTGTCACTTACACCAAGAAATACACATTTTTACTATCTTAATCAAGTTTTTTCTTTTTACTATCTTAATCAAGTTTTTTCTTTTCTGGTTTGGGGCATACGCATAGGCAATGTGATCAAAATTTTTGAAGTGATCTATGGTTGGTTTCCACATATTCCAAGCATCTTCTGATGTCATATGTTGGACAACCAAAGTAAGACTTTTGTTCAAGATATGAATACTCTAATTTGCTCCTTTCAACCAAAAACTTTTGGGAACACTTCCTCTTGCCAACAACAAAAATAAGATTTCTCCTTGAATACCATAAGCATTATAAAAATTTTCAAACTTTTTTGAACAATATTCTCAACCATGATTAATGCAAATAGTTTAATGGTTTTTCTTGCTTTATTTTTTGAAGCTTCTAAATATACTAAAAGCTTTTAATTTTTCTTGCAAAAAAATTTAACTCAAATTTTTTAAGAATAATCATCAATGAAAGTAATTAAATATTTTTCACCTCCATTAAAATATGAATTTATAGGTCCATTAATATTAAAGTGAACAATATTGAGGCATGTTTATTCTTTATGACTTTCTTTTAGGGAATTGAGAATGGTGTTGTTTGCTAACACCATATTCTTCATAAATTTGGGAAGAAATGATGATTTAAGGAAGACTAGTCACCATATTTTTTTGTTGTAAGCTCTCCAACCCATAGAAATTCAAGTGGTCATAACAAAAGTGTCAAAGCCATGATGGATCTTTCACTTCAGTCATCAAGCAAGGTTGAGTACTTTCAATCTCAATACCTATTGAGCTCATTTGAACAATTGTAATAGCTCCTCTAATAGGGTCATAGATTTCACAAGCACCCTTTTTGTGTAGTTATTATATAACCTTTTTCTAGCAATTCAGCAACACTTAAAAAACTAATGTTCAAGTTAGGAATAAAAGGACATTGAAAATTGTTTCTACAAAATCATTATTGGTTCTTATATTAATATCACCATTTTTCGTTACTTTCACATAAGAACAACCATCAAAGCTCACTGTAGAAAAGAACCTTCATTTTAAGTAAGAGAATGACGACTTACTTCCGCGCATATGATTGTTACAACTTGTATCCATATATTGTACATTTGGCCTAGGTTCTTCATTCACTTAAACTACCATCAATAAGGTTTTTACTTCTTTTTTTCTGTAAAATTTAAGTTCTCTCTTTTTTTTTGTCATTAGACAACTTAGTATAACATTTAAAACGACAATAACTAAGTTTATGACATCTAGAGCACTCTATCTTGAGTTTATCGAAATGCTTTTTTAGCCTCTGCCTTTGCTTTGAAGTTTATCATCATTAGCTTTGAAAAATTTATTGCCATCTATGTTGTTTTCAGCTCCTTTGCCTTTGCCTCAACCTTTCATTTTTCCTTTAGAATTTAGAGAGTGAATAAAGCATAAGCTTTTAGAGTTTGCTCCTCTGAAGTAGAACTTTTGTTCATCTTTACTCATGGACCAATAAATAACTTTGTAGTTCATCAAGGAAGAATGCATCTATATTTGGATTCTTCTATTGAATAGGCAACATAATTGAATTTTGGGCCAAAGGGTGTGATATCTTCTCCATAATAACAACATCTTTTATTTTTTCACCATGGAATTGCATGTTGTTAGGTATCCCCATGGTCCTTGCATAATAGTTGGTGAAAGTTTCTCTATCTTTTATTTGTAAGTCTCAAAGATCTTTCTCAAGGTTTAAAGTTGTCCACATTTTACTCTCGAAGAGGCTTAGTATTTTTTATTGATTGAATCCCGAATATCATTAGAAATTTCTTTTTTAAGAATAGTTTTAAGAAAAAATCAATTAATTAATTGGAACAAATAATTTTTTACCTTCAAATCTTTTAAGTTTAACCCTCAAACTTTGTTTTTGCTCATCCGTTAATACCACACTGTGTGTTGGTTATGTCACATCATTTTCTACAACATGTCAATACTCATTCGACCTCAAAAATACTCCATCGAAATGCTCCAATGATTATAATGATCATCAAACCATGGAATACCTGACTGCACAAAATTTTTAGAAGTTATTTATATACAGTTGTGCTTTCTTTTAATTTAAATTTTGACCAACACTTGTATCATTATTAAGTAAAAGAAGGAAGAACGTAGTACAGTAGAAAGAAAAAGCTTGAAAATGAAAAAAATATTTTTCTCTATCTTTATTCAAATAATTGACAATATTTAAATAGACAAATATACCATAGAAATACATCAACTCCTCTTACTCTTTTTTTTTTTTTTTTTTTTTTTTTTTTCTTATTACAAGGCAAAGTTGGAGGGCCAAATATTAACCCCATTTGAACTTTTCCTAAACACGGGAGGGAATTTAATTCGGGTAAAAAAAATTTATAATTCTAAATTCGGTTGGTTTTAAACTTATTTGTTTTCATTAAATTTTAATTATTTAATAAATAGAAATTAATTATAAATTAATAAATTTGATTATAAATTATAAATTTATAATTTTATTACGTAAGCACCTATTTGAATATAAAAATGGCTTCAAACTGGAACTGTGTATATGTATATATGTATTCAAATTTCCATCATATTCATTGTATATTTATTCATTCGTCCATATACTTTGTGAAATTTGAAATTTGAAACTACTACAATGAGTTTGTGGCTCAAGTATACATAGAGAGACAGAGAGGATTTCTGGGCGGTGATTGGTTGGGGACAGCCACTAATCATCTTTAATTTTCAAATAAATTAAATAAAGCATATACATATCAATCCTATGACACTATATAAGCGGTCAACAAATAATTTTAATAACATAATATTTTTGTAAAAAAAAAAAAAAAAGTAAAAGACTCAAATTTTTGTAAAAATGTAAAAGATTTAAATCAGGCCCTTCATTTCGCCTCTATCTTACATAGAAGAAAATGAAAAAGAAAAAAATTGAACTGAAGATGAATTAGCAAAGATAATTTTATACAAGAAGAAGATATAAAATAGAAACAGGTAAAAATCTACCAGAAACATCTCAAGAGATTAACTAGAAAGTGAAAAAGATAATTATTGTCAAGGTAAAGCAATCTGTGTTGAACCAATCTCTCCAACATCATATTTTGAGGCAGAAGTTGGCTGTAGTACAAGACGGTTGTCACCGACACAGCAGGTTCGCATACCACACAACTCACTAGCCTCGCTAGAGACCGGAACATCACAGCCGCAACAGACTCCATTAACACCCACCAAAGAAGAAAAGACATACAAAGAAACAAATGTTAATCTTAAATTGTTTAAATTAAATTAAAGGAGCTGGGAGAAATATGTAACTACCATGGCTTGAGTGTAGGAGAAGAGCAGGAAAATTAAAGAAAATGAAATATAGAGGAGATTGTGAATTTGTATAATGTAACTAACAGCGCGAGAATCTTCAGCAGACCTTCACACCTAACAGACTTTTTTTTTTTTTTTTTTATGGGATCTTAAAGTATTAAACTTTTCAATATTGTAAGTTGATATTTTCCTAAACAAAATCTCAACTTAACCAGATGCACTTTAAATTTGTGAAGGTTTCAAGCTAAGGAAAACATTAAAATTTTTCTTCATTACAATTAATTAGTTTGGTAATTTTAAAATAATAATAATAATAATAATTTTACACTTGATATAATTTATTTATTAATTTTTTTTTTTTGTTACAATTCACACTTACTACCAATTTTTCTTCTATTTTCTAGGAAAAAAATTAAAAAAATAATCAAAAAATAACTTTAATTAAATTACTGAACGAAAACTAAATATTTTTTAAAAAAAAAAAATAAGAATCAAATTCTAATAAGTGTCAAAAGTTAAAAAAATAATTTAATGCATTTAACCTAAAAAGATACGTTCAGGACCGTCAATTATCCTCCGAAAAGATGATCAAGCTCTTTCTTAATCTTGGGTCAAACCAATTTTTGTTTCCAAACATACATACTATTTCCAAATACTTTTTAAAAGGCTAACCTAAAGACAAACTTATTAATTAGGTTAATCCCGTAGGTGTAGAGACTAACGGACTAACTAACCACAACTTTAAACAAAAAATAAATAAATAAATAAGACTCACAAACCACCACAAAGGGGGTGGTTGTTGGTACTCCACCCCTCTTCCTCCCTCAACACACTTCTGCGCATCCAAATCTATTTTAGTTTTTTGCTTTGGGTCAAAATGTTGGCTAAAAACGAAATATCCTATCAGAGAAAAAATGACTACAATTCTACTCAATTTCAGGATCACTCGTTAACAGATATTCATTAACACCTGTTACAAAAACATCGACCTTCCATCTCATTAAAACTATCAAATTATAACTAATCCAAAGCGTACCAAATACTACAAAAACTTGAATAGAGGTCCAATACCCGCAATTAATCTTTCACATTACTGCTGTTTATCTGGTTTCTCCTCTTCCTCCTTCTCCGGATCTTCCTCCTCTTCCTCTTTCTTCTCTTCCTCCTCTTCATCTTCCTCGGGAGGATCACAAGGCAATGGAGGCGGTAATGGTGTTTTCATAGGGCTAAACTGCGGAAATATATCAGGTCTTCGCCCAGGCTTCGGTCTCTCCCATTCCTACCATGCAATGCAACACATTAATGATTACAACAATCCTATAACTGGAAAAAATTTGGAATTCAACATAACTTACACTTGATAATCGATGGAGATTGTATCCAAAAATAATTACCAAACTCAACCACACTAAGAAAATCTAGTAGCGAACTGACTGCATCAAATTCAACTAGTCCTCCATTCAAGAGATCGAGCACACTTAATGTGTGATGCATGCTTCCATGGGTTTCAACTCACACCTCAACAACTAAAGAATCAATTAACTAAACTTTGCCAAATCCAAGCACTTGTGTTTCATCAAAATCAAAGCAACAAAGTTACGGCCATTACTCAAATCGTAACTGTTATATAGGCCTGCCTCTCCCCACATTTTCTTCCTCTTATGACCATCTCTATCACTCTCTCTCATAAAACCGAACAATTGATTGTTTGAAATTGATAACAATCTAATTATACACGCAGAAGCAATTAAGAACCTTTGAGAAGAAAGGCTCTTTCAAACTACATTTGTAAATGTAAGTTATAGAGGTTGAAAAAACATCGTTTCACCATAAGCAAAGGTAGTAATCACATATTTTACTATTGTCAGGAAATACTAGACCTAGGAGCACCATGTTGCACCACACACGCTCAAATTGACACAAGTAATGTCAGTTGAATAGGAAGGTCAAAATATGCTAAAATGTTTAAACTCAAAATATATGGCAAATTGACAAGTTTAGCATATACCTGTACAGACAGGATTCCAACCGTAAACAGTAAACATTACAATGCAAACCGAAATTGAGGGTATGGACGGAGATGAATTGAAAACTAACCCAGAAAGGAAAAAGGTTCAAAATTAAAAGAAGTCTGACTACTCATCAATGATTCGCATATCTAGTAGAGCATGCAGTATTCAGTCAGAAAAAGTTCAACCAAATTATATAATGCATCTATTGCTAAATCCAAATGGATAGCAAGTGAAAATTTTTATGCAAAACATTATTGTTTTTGTCATCACTCTAGTATATGTATATTATATAAATACAAATATATGTATGAATATAATATATTTGTATATAAGATGTGTACACATTCTCAATACCTAACTCCCCTGAAATGGGAAATTATCTATCTGAATTCTGGAACCGACCAGAATACATCCTAGCTAAAGATTTTTTCTTCCAATGAATATGTAACAGATTATAACTAGGGACGCCCAAATGAATCATTCTAGCTAAAAGCAGTCAATATGATGGACATGGGAGTATAAACTATGAAGTGAAGCACTATCATTCATCACCTAGTAATCATCATTTTTTTGCAGCAGCACCAGTTTTGAGCCAAGCTAACAAATCTATATCCAGTTATGTTTCCCTGAACTAAAGTATTTAATTTATGCAACGCCGAGAAAAGCGCGGCCAAATTCCATTTCCAACAAATTCTAGTTCTAAAGATTAAGCACACATTTGCATATCTGAAAAGTGAAATTTAATCCCTAAGCAAACATTCATTTAGGCACAAATCTTTCCCCTACAGTTAATGGCACCAAGAGTTCAATTAACTGAGGGCACGCTGTCAATTTCACCAAAAAAAACGAGCTTAATTAATGTAAACTTGCTAAGAAGTAAAAGTACCATATAACTCAATCAACAGAAGAAACTCCCAAAATTCAACAGAACAAATTAATCAAGCTGAGTCAATTCCAAAGAATCACTTAAACAATTCACATAAACAGAACAAAGAAAGAGGGATTAAACCGACGTACGATAGGAAAATCTAGAGGATTGCGGCGAGTGAGCTTCTCTTCTTCGGGAGCCATACAGACCAGGAACTGCTTCTTTGCCCTCCTCATCATCCGTTGACTAGCAATCACAGGGCGAGGAGGCAAAAGCGGGAAAGAGACGAAAGAGCATCTGCAACTGCAATGGGGCAGCGAAGAGGAACACGGAGAAGAGGAGGAGGTCGTCTGATGTGCCACAAACGAGGAATAGGAGGCCATTGGTAGGGTTTTCGATGGCGATGATATTGAGAGGCAAATTGATGCCATGGTATCCCTCCCGTGACTTGCCAAATCACAAAGGGTTATCAGCAAACCCCAAGAGACACCTAACCGCCTCTCTATTCTCTATGCCAGTACCTATATATCCTCCGAAAATTTTTTTTTTTTTTTTTTCGTTTTTTCTGGGTGCCAAATTGCAAATGTAAGAAGATGATCATCATTAGCTGTTCCTAGTCGGTATACTTGAAAAACTGGCCGAAACCCAATTGAATTGGGCCTCAAGTTCATACCATTAGCTTATTTTTTTTAGAAATATAATATTAATTTTTCACAGCAATTACAGAATTGCAGAGAATTACCGGGTGGTGTGTTCTGATGCATTTTATTTAATATCTATTTATTTGAAGAAATCTGTTAAAATTTCTTAACACCATTCAATTTCCCAAATACTATTATGATTATATTATAAAATTAAAAACTCAAATTTATAAAAAAATGTTATTACCTATTTTAATTTTTATTTTATAAGATAAAAATAGGAATTAGTGCTGCATCCAAAAGTCATTACCTATTCAAAATCATTGAAGCATGAAACAGTTTTTTTTTTCTATGATGTACGGCAGTCCTAAATATCCCATATATGCAATTGGAGATCACACTATATGCAGCAAACAAGAACAAAATCCTTCAGCTGGAAACTTTGGCTGTCTATTAAGCTATAGCCGTTCTCTTCCATATTCGTCTTCATGCTAGAGACAACTCGGACCTGCAACACCCATTTCCTTATTCACTATCTTCACTATCCAGCACAACTACAGCCTCAGATATCATTGATTCTTCTGCGACATCCTGACTTATCTGCTGCTTCTCAGCATCTCTTGATTGCCATGGCAATGGTAAGGGTTCAGCTGCATTCATGAAGTGGCTCCGCAAGTGACAGACCAGCTGGCTATTATGATGATGATCAACATCAGTACTCCCTTTCAGTTGGCTCAGAGGTTCAAGGGACAATTTGCGGCTAATAGCAACCTTTGTAGAATCAATTTGCGAGTTTGAAACTGACAACTCGTTAACTGGCATCACATTTTCTTTTTTGTCTTCTGCCTGTTTCTGTGATGAGCCTTTAAATCCTAATGAAAGCTTCTTACAAGCCAATTGTTGCTCCTTAAATTTTGTAGCACTAGAGCCAATTCCAGTTCCATCTGTGTAATCCTTATGAGATGGAAGTACATTGTGGTTTTTGGAGAGTAAGTCACCATCAAATGTTTTCTGATTATTCCCAGAATTTGTTTTGGAGCTGTCCGTGGATTCAACTTGCTCCTTTTGCTTGCTTTGACATAGCAATCTATTCAAGTTTATGCCACCAGTTACTGGTTTATTTGCTAGACTCTGATGAACTTGGTACCTGTGGCCTATGCTTTCATATAGTGTTGACATCCCTGAATAAGCTACTGGAATAGATTGAGGTTCACATGGTAGAGACTCATTTAGCACATTTTCCGTGTCCAAATCTCTCTTCTGAACTTGACCAGAACATGGCAATGACAACTTTCTCTTCGTACCTTGTGGTTTTTCATGACTCAGATTGCAGCCATAATGCATGCCTTCAACCTCTTTCCTTTTATGGTTTACCTCTGCCTCATTCTGAAAGTCAAGGAGAAAATGTTGGTCAGTAGGCACATCTCTTGCTTGTCCATCAGTTTCCCTCTTTTGCTTTAAGGTTGGTGATTCCAATGACATCTTCTGCCTGAACCCAGATGGCTTCTTATGACTACAAACAAATTCATTCACTTCAAAGTTGGCGTCACTCTTCAATCCCTGAAACTGCAGAACCAAGTCATAAAACGGCCAAGGATTGACTTTGAAGAGAAAGTACCAAATAAATCACAGACCAATACCTTGTTTGTATCTGAGTTGACTTGAATGCACTTGGACTTGGAGCTGCTAGTACCACTGTTCCCACTAGTTCCAGCCTTGGCATACTTCTCAGTCATGGACCGTGCCTTTTGGTCAAACACTTGTCTGTTGTACTTGTACTCTTTGCTCTGCATATTCACCCAACCATATCTACAAATCAAATAAACTTCTTCATTTACAAGTACGGTTTGATTTGATCCTCAAACATATGCACTTACTGCTTCACACATTAAGCCATCATCTGGGTTTGGTTCGCTTAGTAGTAACCCTATGCTCGTTAGAACAGTTGAAATGTTCAATGATGGTTGCCAAGCCCCCTGTTTAGATCAGAATCTAGCCTCATTATGCATTAGACATATTGAAGAGAGAGGAAAAACTTCAATTCAGTACAGACCACTCTTGGCATGTGAGTAAGGAAATTATGGATCTTCGACAAATCTTGCAAAAACTTAAGAAAACCTAGTGAGAAAAAAAAGGGAAAGCGAGCAAATTGCCTACCATTATCTTTTGAGAGAAAATAAAGCCACAACATAAATTCTCGATACTTTCTGTTGAAATGCTGATCTAATGAAGTGGGGACCAAAGGAAATATGTTTGGTAGATGAAAATATTTTCTAACTTTCATTTCTTAAATTCATGCATGTTTATGAATATGTCTACTACTCATGGAAGAAAGTATTTGATGTTTTTGTGAAGCAATTAAGTTAAAAAGAAGAGTAGATTTTTAGAAAACTCAATAACATTTTTATGTTCAAACTAGCCTTAAAAAAAATTCAAACTATATCTTCATTTTCACTTTCATTTTTTGACTATGTTACATGTCGCGAAAAAAAAAAGGAAACTAAGTGTGTAACAAACTGGAGCTTCTTACAAGAAAAAAAAAAATCCAGCAATTTATATTGAATCTTCAGGTTGTAGAAACAGAAGCCTAGCTTAAAAGTGGCTTTATATTAACTTTCGGAGACCATAAGGAACTCTGGCAATCCATGGCAGGGCATACGGTCAATCTTTACAACCAAACATAAATCTAGACCATAAAACTGAGAACTTCAAGCATATGCGAGCAGCTCTGGTAAACAGAAGCATTCATTCGTTAAAAGTCAAACTAGAACAAATATGCAGCATTAAGGGCTTTGAGTTTGTATAAGATTTTATCCAAGCGGACCTTAACCCATTGAGATATCTATAAGCAGCTCCTAATTACTGGATTACAAGTAATTATATTCCCAAAACTGGCTCAAGCTGTACCTTTACCGAGCATCCCAGAATTATATATCATCTATAAACATTCAACTGGGGCAAAATTGAAGTACAAATCAATTGAGGGGTCAATTAGAAAAGAGAAAGAAAAAACCCAGGTACGCGACTTACCTTGGGAGGAAGATTAAGAATGTCAAGGCAAATCCGGCCACCATTGTCAATATTCGGGTGGTAAATTGGCGTAGCGAAGGTCACTATTGGGGGCTGAAATGGGTACCTAAATCACCCCACAATCCAACCCAAAAATAAATAAATAAATAAATAAGCATTTGAAATTCCCTCAATATTTGACGACAGGAACGCAGAATCTCAGATAAGTCATGTTAATTAAATGAACAATCTCTTTAAAATGAGAAGAAGAAACTGTAATACCTTTCTGGTATCTGAATCTTAATGTTAAAGATTCCGTTGGCATATACAGTACCTTCAGGCCCTTCGATCTCTGTAAACACGACATGTAAAGAAAGAAGGTAATGAACGTGAATCAAGTGAATATACTTTAAAAAATGAATTATAAGGGAAAAAAGGTTCAGGTGGAAGGGAAGACTACGGGCGTCAATGGAGGACAAAGAAGAGACGTCAAAGTCGGACGTGAGGAACGGAAACAACGCGCCTGGAGGCGGGTCAGTAAGAAGGAGCTTCAACTCCTTCTGCATCCTGAGAGAGAGCCTCGCCGCTTGAACCATTTTCTCCGTCCTCTTTGAAGATCGAAGTGAACAAAAAAAAAAAATTGTGGGTTTGGGTTTGGGTTTGATTCTTATGGTCTTTCAAAATTCTCTCTCTCTCAATTTAGCGCGGGCGGTAGGGAATTTCCGCGAATTGTTGAAGGAATTGGAGATCTGAGGGGAAAAATTAAAAACAAGTGAAATGTTGAGAGTGGGATTTGAACCCACGCCCTTTCGGACCAGAACCTTAATCTGGCGCCTTAGACCAACTCGGCCATCTCAACGTTATGATAGAGCGCATTTACTATCTAATAAGTATTATTGTCAATACACAAAAATAATTAAAACTCTTGTAACACAATAAATATAATTAAATATAGTTAAATTGTTATAATAACAACAAACACAATAAATATTAATATATTAACATTTATATATTTATTAAATAAAAAAATACTAGTTTTTTATGACTTTAAATAAATTTGGTATTTGAAGGAATTAAAAAAAATAAGAATTGCTATTTCACCTATTATTACTTTACTAGTTATAATTTAAAGTTTATTTTTTCATGACAACTTAGTGATAGATAATAAATTATATAACAATGAATATTACTTGGCAGAATATCACTAAATATTACTTGAAGAATTATCCAATAATTACATAATATTATATACTTTTTTGTAAGGTGTAAGATAAAATTAAATACTTTTATTGCAATGATGCATAATAATGAAATAACATCAAGTATTACTTTAATGTTTAAATCGTCATATTTAAATAGTAAAATAACATCATATATGATTTATATTTACCTAGCAAATAACATCATATCTAACTTCTATTTTGTAAAGAATAATTACTTACTTTATATATAAATGTTGGTCTTACCACAAGAATTTAGTTAATATAAATAATTGATTTGATTACATTATTTTTAATATTAACCGTGTTATATCAATTATTATCTGACTATTCAAAATATATTATTTTTTATTATCTCAATACAATTTTTAAAAATAAAATATTGAGAAATAAAACCTTCATTTTAAATTTTATTAGTAACCCCATAAATCACGGAGGGTTGGTTAATTCATGCGTTATGGGTTAGTGGTCTTTGCATATTAAATAAATACACGACGATGGTATTATTATATAAAAATTAAAATAAAATAAAATATCACATATTAGCACTTATTGTTCAAAATAAATTTTATTTTTTTAATATATTTTTATAAAATTGACTTTCATAATATCAATTCAATAGAAAAACATTAAAATAATTATTACAAAGTCGTCTCAATACATTGAAATGTTTATAAATGATAAGAATATTAGCCTTAAAGTTTAATTAGTTTCAACTCTTGTTATTAAGATCTTATCATTTACATTTCAAATTTACATATGAACTTTAAAGTAAGAAAACAAATATCGTAAGTGATTTGCAATATATTATGAATCATAAAATAATTTTAAAAAAATTGTAGAAAACCACACAATTTAATTCAATGGTATAATTCAATTAAATATGGTCAAAACTAATTGCAAACGAATATTTAAATAATTTAGTCAGTTAAGTGTAAAATATAATATTTTAAACCATCCATTTTGGAAATAAATATTTTTTAATTGTTTATAATATTAACATAAAATACGAATTATATATAAATAACAATAAATTTTAATTAGTAAACCTATATCATAAATCTTACAAATTGGTTTGACTCACAATTTTTTCATTTAAAAAATTAAGTTATAATTAATGATTCAAACCATATTTTAAGGCTTATAAATTAAGAAGCATTAGAGTGCAAATTTTTGGTTTTAAATTAAGGTAAAGGCATCATATGTTATAATTTAAACGAATTATGTAACATAACATTGAGTACTTCTTCTATACATCGTCCTTCTTGTTTTCAGACTCGAAGGGGAGCCATTTGTTGGGTGTAACCATGACAAGCATCTCTCACGTGATTCGGAAACTTCTAATTCAAATTTAATTTTCCCTCCCTATCGAGTCTAAGGAGGTCCGAAGGAGCTTAATCAACCACGTGTCAAATTAATATACAAGCAAATAATCATATAATGCCACGTAGGAAGCTTTATATTTGCTATTCAGTCCCTCATTTAAGATTTGGTTTGCAAATTGAGCTTAAAAGAATTTTTGAGACGGTTAACAAATATATCGACGGTTCGGGAGTCAACATCGAGGACAGTATTTAAAATAAGTGGCCACGATTCACTCAAGTGGGTCCTTCTCAATGCGCCCCGACGTGAGTTCCAAAAACGTCAAAACTCCACCGCTTCTACGTTCTTGGTGACCCACACGCGCCGCTTCCTGTCCCACCGTAGTCTTTTCAAAAAGTTACCTGCAAATGAATTTCTAAATTCGGTTTAATTGAAGATTATTTTTGATAATGGTTCAGAGTTTGATTTGGATTGTTATAAAAATATCAAAATTTAAAGTTTACGAGTTTTAATTTAAATATTACTAGTTTATGCTTACTCTTTAAACAAAAGTTTTATAAATACAATTAGAATTAGTTTGAAATTTAATAAAATCAAATTCAAATTTGGATTATAAAAAAGTAATTTAATTTGGTATGTTTAAATCGTGCAAATAATTAATTAAATTTTTACTTAAAAAAATTCGAAAGTAATAAAAAAAAGGGGAAAGTAAAACAAATGAAATAATTCAAAAGTGTTATCTCCAACTAGTCCAACAACCACTCCGCTTCATTCCTGCTTGTCTTAAAAACTCCGATCTCTGTTTCTCTCTCTATACGTACAGGTATACGTATATCTACAGTGATTAGTATCGTTTTGGTGTATTTAAGATTTGAAGCTTTTGAAAATCTGTTTGGTTACCGTACGGTCGGCATGTTTAATATTTGTTGAACAGATACAGACTCAGAATTGATTTCTAGTGAGAGAAAGAGAAGATGAATGCGGTGGGGGGACAGATTTCGAGATCCAATCCGACGGCGCATAATCAGCGACAGTACTCCGATAACTTTCTAGAACCACAGGTTACTGGAAAATGGCTGCAATCAGCCAATCTTCCTTCCTCACAGGTCTTGCTTCTTCCATCTCTTTCTCTCTTTACAGTTTCATGCTCACAATCAACTCTGCGGGTGTATCGTACATATCTTATATGCTTTTAGAACGACGTCGTTTTTTTTCTGCGTATAGGACTTCGGGTTCTACGGTGGAGGAGGCTGTGCAAGGTCGTCAAGCCTCAGGAAGAACGGCGACGAACGCTTGTCACCCGGTGAGCTCAGCCCTGGCTTGCTCGATCTTTATTCTTTCGACACCGAGCTGTTACCCGAGGTTTGCTTCCGAAATTTTCCGTTTCTAAATGCAAATTTGGAAACCTAAAGGGATTT